TTTACATCTATTTTATGCTCAATAAAGAGTTTATCCGCCGTGTGGTCCCGGCATAGAATGGCCCTTCCTTCCCCGTGGGTACCGTAAGATGCGACTAAGGGAGGACGAGGGATGGGCAGCAGTGTCCCTCATAAAAATTCTCCAAAATCTTAATTGCGGTTGCCAACCCACCTGCTAAGCGTGGCAACTACTGGCAAAACTCCCCTTATGGGGAAGGCTTTCCAACAATGGACAGTTAACGGCTGAAATAATAATAATAATAAAAGTTTATGTTATTGTAGTAAGGACTGTATTGTAAAAAAATACCGGTTTTATTTCCAAAGATCCCTTTTAAAAACTTTCTTATAGCTTTACAAAAAATCTGAATATCCAATATCCTTTATTACAATCCAGCTTGTTTACAGTATTTTCCATCGCCAGGGGTCTAGTTTAAAACTTAGATTAACGCACAAAAAATTTTTCTTATGTGAATAGTTAATATTAAATATATTTAAGTAAATCTTTGTATATGGTCTGTACGGCAAAACGGGTCAGGTATTTATTATAACAGCTAGCTTTTACCCGCGATTTCGATTTCGTCCACATAACCAAGGTATGTAAACCAGGGATTGTTAGTAGTGAGATCCAACAGACCCATTACTAGCAATATACCATAACAGGTCGACCTCCAAACGGTTTCCCTTGGAAACCATCGTGGTTAATTTTTGATGAAATCATCACGATGGGCAAACTGATTTGCTTCATCGTCACTTATCATCCCTCACTGGTGTCCCGCCAGTGTATACCGATAGCGCAAACGGGGTTACTATTTCATTATAATCCATTAAAAAAAAACAAAGTATGTTCACTGACCTAGATAAAAAGTAACCTATATCTTTCTTCATCCAATATGGTATATGAATTAAGTATCATAGTAATTGGTTAAACTGATAAGGCGCCAAGATGTAACAAACAATCCCACCTTCACACAAATAGACTTTGTACAAGAGTCGATTGCTTGAGTACCTCTGTTCCATTCGTGTTTCAACCGCGAAGCAGCTGTGTTTGCATGGCTGTGTTTCGGTTTGACGGGTGGCATATGGCGCGAATTTACTGGGTACAGAGGAATAACACCTGAGTCCTCAGGAATGGCAACGCATGGGGGGTATCATGTGTGAAACAGTATACTCTGTTATATCCATGGTACTGCTCATGTCTATAGGCGACGGTTACCACTTTCCATCAGGTGGACCGTCAGCTTGTTTGCCATTCTAAGTTGTATAAAAAAAATCCAAAGTTTTTGGTGTATTTCAACCAAATTCGAACTTAATCATGAGTATAAGTAAAAACTAAGAGGTTGAAGCTCACTAGTAAAACGTTTGTTATACACGAAAAGAGTACTTTGTTCTATGGAAATGCCAGTAAAAATAAATTAAAACGCTAAATCTGCCGGGATAAAAGTTAAAGTCGTTATCTAGTTTACTAGCACAGTTGCAATTATAAAGGTTTTCAGGATAAAAATATGTAGATAATATAGAACATTTTGTTTCACAAAACAAAAAGGAAATGACTTCAATTGTGGAAAATTTTGTTATTTTGTTTTAAAAAACCACACTTCTGAATTCATTTTGATGAAATTTTAATTCAAACCTTTGAATTGGGACTAATATGAAAGTATAGATAGATAGATAGATACTCTTTATTGTTTCCTCCAAAAGATTACAATACTAAACTTATTATAAATATAAATAATTACAAGAAATAATCACAATGAGAAAACAATGGGCGACCTTATCGCTAAGAGCGATCTCTTCCAGGCAACCTTTGGATGGAGAGGAGTAATTATAAACAATTTGGTAGGAGGCACGATAAAAAATTTTGTTAGTTCTAGATATGGGAGATGTAATACATATAATAATATAAAAATTATCCCTACTCAATATATATATATATATATATATATATATATATATATATATATATATATATAAGTATATTTATTTAGATAGAAAGAATAATTTCCCAAATGACGGAGTTACAAGGTAACAAACATAAAAAAATACAGTCAAATTGAGATTCCAGACGAGTTACCTCTACAAAAAATTATTCATTAAAATTTACCAACTTTTATGTTATTATACATTTAGTCAACATTTTTATTATACTAGTTTCATCTCGCTTCTTTGTCTGCGTGAATTGGAATATAAATTATCTCATGAATTATTTTATAATATACATAATCCTCGTTTCAACTAAATTTACCACAAATTCTTCCAGTCATTTATGCATACGTTCATATAGCCAAACTTCTTTACACAAATATTAATTTTATGACAGTATTAGTTTTTACCAGCGACTATGTCCGCATGGATATGTTCACTGATCGGGATAAAAAATAGGCCATAATTTGCATCTCATATATTACGCGTATACCAAATTTCATAGTGATTGCTTAAGCTATTAAGGCGCTAAAAGTTAACAAACTCACTTTCATATTTTTAAAATTAGTAAGCATTAAGACTGGTATAGTAATGATACTGAACAAAATACTAAATTCTTATTACATTGATTTTATCTGTAGAGTTGTTATAAATGATTTATAATAGATTCTGCACTCCAAGAGGACACTTAGAGCTAGAGCACACATAGAGCTACACTTGTCCCTACCAACATTTTTTAATTTCCCTCAATGTAATTCCAAACCTTTTCTTGATTAAGTAAACTTAATATTATTAGTTTTGTATTTGTCAATAAATGGGGTCAGTTATGAGGCGCCATCTATCTTTTAAACTTATATTATTATTATTTATTTAATTTTATTTATTTATTTATTTCAAATAAATAATTACATATACAATACATATTCTTATATTAACAGCGAAAGTGTTTTGCAGTTTGTCTGCAACTCTGCGCTCTTGTACATACAGCTTTATACTGTACTATATTTTTAAATAATTATTATATATACATACACACACATGCATACATTCTCTCATGTATTCATATCAGAAACATAATATTTGCCATCCACTTGCTTGTATTTTAGATAGTGTGTGCTGTCCTCAATCATTACTAAGTATACATTATGAACAACATTCACCAAACAAATTGAGTATTGAATGTAATACTGATCCATAATTATTTTTTCTTACTTTTCTTTTAAAATTTGTATTGTGACATTATTTAATAACCTTATATTTCTTGGTAGTACATTATAACATTTTGGAACTAAATATTTTCTCGTTCTTTTATCATAATAAATAAAAATTTTGGGTACAATATATTCTCTGTTTTCCACTTTACCTGCGATAACTTTATAAGTTAAGGGATTAGGGGTAAGATTTTTTTTAAATTTTATTACTGTGTTCCATTAAAATGAATAGTTCTTTTTTATCCTTTACAGACAACAATTGACATATCATAAACAACTCTGTATACCTGCTTCGTATACATCTTTGCTTCTTATTTTAAATCAATTAAAATTTTATAAAAGGTTTATGCAAAAATTTATTATCTGCATATAGATTATAGATTACGAGGTTTGTCCGGAAAGTACGTATAAAAGTTTTTTAAAAATTTTATTTTACAATTATTCAGGTAAATCAATTTTATCCCCTTCAAAGTACTCCCCCTGTGACATAATGCACTTGTGCCAACGCCGTTTCCACTGTGAGAAGGCTCCTTGAAAGTCCTCTGGTTGTAGGTTTCTCAGCTGCCCCGTCGTAGCTTTTTTTATCTCATTTATGTCCCCCAAATGCCGCCCCCGAAGTACCAATTTGGTTTTTGGGAACAAGAAGAAGTCACACGGGGCCAAATCCGGCGAATAGTGGGGGTGTTCGGTCACCGTAATGGAATTTTTACTCAAAAACTCACGGACAACAAGAGAGGTGTGGGCAGGGGCATTGTCGTGGTGAAGAATCCAACGCCCCTCTCGCGCCAATTCTGGACGAACTCGTGCCACACGAGCTTTGAGGCGTCTGAGCACATCGACGTAGAATTTTCCATCAACTGTCTGGCCTGGAGGGACGAATTCTTGATGCTTTCTCGGCCCTCTCTGAATCTTTTTAGCCACTTGTGGACGGTTGGTTCCTTCACAGCATCATCCCCATAAACTGTTCTGAGATCGGCAAAAAATTCTTGCCGAGTTTCGAGAGAAACTTGAACGACGCGCTGCTCTTCAACGGAAGCGGGCTCCAACGGGGTTTCGTTAAGAGGTAACTTCACAGATTATCGCACCGCACGGCGGTCAGACCAGAATGAAGCATTGTTAGGGATTATACTCCTCTTTCTCGCATTATATGTATATGTGTTTTAGTTGGTTTAGATACGTGTCGTCCGTAAATCCGTCGGTACCAGGACTAGGACTATATCTACGAGATAATAAGCTAGTCATTAAAAAAGGTAGCCATCGAACAAAAATTGTAAAGTACAAATTTAATAAGGGTTACATTCCACCCCTGTTCCATTTCGGTACGCGTCTATCCTAAAACACGGTCGTCTAAAATTAACACTTTTTTGCCTAAGCCCATGTAATTATGTAAATACCCATTTTTACGTATTCAAAATATGAACTGAAATAACACACTGAAAATGAAGAGATTGTTAGTAATGAGAAGGTTAGTACCCATTGCTATCAACATACCATATCAGGTCGACCTCCACGTGGTTCTCCTTGGAAACTATCGTGACTAATTTATCGTTGAATTCGTCACGATGGACTAACTGACCTGCCTTTTCATCCTCACCTATCACTATCACTATCACCTCTCACTGGTACCCCGCCAGTGTATACCAATAGCATGCGGGGTTACCATTTTATTATCATTCATAAAAAAAAAATACAAGTAACGAAACAGCAGTGTGACTTATGACGTGAACGAATAGGTATCCAAACTTAACGTTCTGGAAAATTTGGCCGCGTCTGATAATTATTAATAGACAAAGGGCCTTATCTGTCTATTATCTATGGCGGCCCATGTTCCCACGGCCCGTTATTCTGCGGTTATGTTTACATATAAATACAACAGTCTCCAGTGATTTAAATAATTGAAACACTTATTGTACACATTGTAACAGTAATTTTAAGTGTGAATATGTCGACTGATCAGGAAAAAGACCCCGCCGTCGTCAACCTACAGAATTATTTGAGAATACGCACTGTACATCCTAATATTAACTATGGTAAGAAAACTAATTACAATTATTTGTTTATGGGGGCCTTATTACTAGTAATTTACTGTCTTACATTTAACAAGTTAGACACTAAGTAATAGCAAAACAAAATATATATAATATCCTAGACAAAAAATAACTGTTTATGCCAATAATGTATACTGCATGGCGATCCGTATTTGTAAATATAACAAATTGTCACTTTTCTGAATACAGTCTGAATAAAGTGCACTTCAAGTAACATGTATTTTTATGGATTATAGAAAAATGTTATTCTATTAATGTATTTCTAAACGACAAAAGAATGCTACCATTGTAATTGTGATCGATTTAAATTAAATTTTAGTTTTGACATTTAGATAGATAGATTTATTTATTTGCCAGAACATTGTTTTTACAGATACTGATCTATTGTGAAGTACAAATGTTCGCCTTATAGTCTAAAGCAGTGATTCTCAACCACTGTGCCGCGGCACTTTTGTGTGCCGCCAAATTTTGCAAATATTTAAAAATTTTGTCATAAACTATTTATGCAGTGTGTTGTAGTGAGTAAATAATTTTTATCTTTTTCTTTGTGCGCCGCCAAATTTTGAAATCGTTAATTATGTGCCGCAACAAAAAAAAAAGGTTGAGAATCACTAGTCTAAAGCATGCAAAATCATTATTGGCTAGGTAAAAGTTACATTACATTTAATACATACATATAAGTTACTTGACATCACATCAATTATTTATTCAATTAATAATAATAAAATTATAATAGTATGTTAAAACATCAATCAATACATACATACATACATATCTGTCACGCCTGTCTCCCATTAGGGTAGGCAGAAACAATGGAACGCCAAATGCTTCGATGATAATATAATTGGTAATTGTCTAGAAAATAGTGTTGTGCTCGTGCTTATTGTAATAGTTTATATACTTTTAAATATTTGTACGTTGAAAACAGCCGAATATGATGGGAATTTATTTACTAGTGTCATCTTGTTGTAGCATATTCTATTAAATGGATTATTATTATTACATCCCTCTTCACGCAATTTTTTTTTATACAACTCAGAATGGCAAACAAGCTGACAGCCCTCCTAATGTAAAGTAGTAACCGTCGCCTATAGACATGAGCAGTACCATGGACATAACAGAGTATACTGTTTCGCCCATGATACCCCCCATGCGTTGCCATTCCTGAGGAGTCAGGTGTTGTTCCTCTGTACCCTGTAAATTCACGCCATATCCCACCCTTCAAACCGAAACACGGGCATGCAAACATAACTGCTTCACGGTAGAAACACGAATGGGACAGAGGTACCCAAGCAATCGACTTTACAAAGTCTCCCTCTGGTGACCCCTCTGGCAATTGCCCCTGGAAACCATCGTAGTTAATAAACAGGTAAATTCGTCACGTTGCCGTATGATCCCGGTATAGAATGGGCCACCCCTTCCTTCCCCGTGGGTTTCGTAAGATGCAAGTAGGGGAACTTAATAGTCGAGGGATGGGCAGCAGCGTCTCTCTTAAAACATCGCCAAAGGCTAACTACGGTTACCAACACACCTCCCAACGTGGCAACTACTGGTACAAACCCTTCTTATGGAGAAGACCTATGCTCAGCAGTAGACAGTTAAAAGCTGATACGATAATTATTATTATTATTACACCATTACATTTTAAAAACTTAATGAAGAAAAGGATTTTACTTATGCGGAAGCAACCCTCGGATCGTGGAGCTGGCTCTCGTCATCGAATGTAGTGCATCGAAAATTGTATATCACTATTAAGGATTTTTTTTTTTTTTCTTGTCACTAATTTAGTACATTGGATTCTTGTTCTGTTATATTTTTTTTTTTCATTTATTCATTGTTTTTATACTTGTTTATTTTAGTTTTTGTATTGTTTTCTTTTATTTTTTATGTAATATCTACATCAATATATATATATGATAATGAAACGGTGCCCCGTGTAGGTGCAAACTGAAAATCAGCGCTGAACGAACATCAGTCCAGCAAAAGCTGAGTTTGTACCTATTGCCAGGCGCATACGATTAATGGACAATATATTGATTAATTAATTTATGTACATTATAATTTGTGAAGAATGGCAATAAATTTTATTATTATTATTTTTTAAATTTCACTAAAATTCTCATCTCCCCTCTTAAGGAGAGGAGATGGCAACTAACCCCCGGCAGAAGCACAGTCGGCCGGGGTTCAGGGCCCCAGGGAGAGAAACCGGCGTACAATGCGGGCAGAATCTAAGAGCACCACTTTCTGCATCTTTCCCGGAAGTGAACCGCCTCTGAATCCCAACCGTCTGAGATGTTGTTCGAGACTGGTTGGGATAAGACCGTTCACCGACATAACGATTGGGATGATTTCGGTAGATGACACCCCCCACATTTCGGTCACCTCGTGAACCAGGTCGAGATATTTTCTCTTTTTCTCGGTTTCGGCTTTCACGAGGTTCTCGTCATGCGGTATGGTGACATTGATCCATCACCACGATATCAGGTTTGTTCGCAAGAACGGTCCTGTCCGTGATGATGGATCGGTCCCAGTAGAGCCTTACGCTGTCGCTTTCGAAGACCGGCTGGGGCTCATACTTATAGTACGGCAACCTCTCATTCGCGAGGCCGTACTTCAGAGCTAGCTCTTGATGGAGTATTTTGGCTACCTGGTTGTGTCTGTGCAAGTACTCAGTGTTGGCAAGAGCTGAACAACCCGAAAGCACATGTCTGAGTGACTCTCCGGGATGGCGACATGCTCGACAGATGTCCTCAGTGCCATCCTTCAGAATGTGCTTTCGGTAATTGTTCGTCTTAACCACCTGATCCTGTATTGCACAGACAAAACCCTCGGTCTCTCCGAAGAGATCACCGAACTGTAGCCAGTGCACGGAGGTCTTCGTGTTTACGTACGGCCCGTGAAGGGCTTTGAAGAACCTTCCGTGCAACTCCTTCTCTTTCCATACGGCCTCCCGCTGAGAGGTACCCAAAACTTCGGGTTTTCGCCAGTCCTTATTATTATTATTATTATTATGATGGTCCTACTGAGCCGCTGTCATCCTCTCTGGTGACCAGCTAGCGTATACCGTTTACGCAGACAGGGATACCATGTCATTATCATGGATAAATGTATTCATTATTAATAACCCCTTCTCGCTGGTAAAACCAATTTAGGTGTACACTTTTCTGAGTTATGACCTCAAATGTTGGTTGCCTGATTTCTCATAACATCCTGACAATGAGAAATCAGGCAACTTACATCTTAATTCAAAGACTTTTAAACTGGTGCGGTCCTTATTTATTTATTTTATTTTCAGATGAGTGTCTCAACTATCTTCGTGCGCAGGCATCAGAGTTGGGACTACCAGTACAAGTGGTGGAAGCTGTCCCCAAGAAACCGGTTCTGGTTATGACCTGGGAGGGCTTGGACCCAGGTCTGCCGAGTATTCTACTGAACTCCCATATGGACGTGGTTCCAGTGTTCGAAGTATGTACCTTAGCTGTTATATTAAAAGTTTTAAGTTAGATCTTGGATACTCTATCTGTGACAAAGTGAAAAGACTGTGTTTACTCTTTGCCTGGTAATGACTAAAAGCGAAGAGCTGAAGCTCAGTTACGTACCTTAGAAGAAACCTATCTTTAGCGGGATCATATAGAACATATTCCTTTTTAAAAGGCCAGCAGCACCCTTGCAATGCCGTTGGTGTTATGGGTGGTCATGGGCGGCTATAGTCATTTACCGTTAGATGAGCCGCATGCTCGTTTGCTATATAGCACCAGCGCGTTCCATTCTATAAACCACCTTAGTTAATTGACTTAATCCTTACTATCCTTCACTCGCCATACCCATAGAACAGGCGGGGTCACTATTCCATTATTGTATTAAAAGGTGAATTGTGATGATGATTAGAAACTAAATTTAAATAATTTTTCTAATAATCTGTCCTTATAAGACTACGTACCATCAGTACTGTACCATCAGACTGTTTACCATCAGACGGGTCGTGTACTTGACTGCTACCATAGTAGTATAAAAAAGGATATCCCTGAAATATACATCCAGTACAAAAAGATAAAATCCCCCGTACATTATGTGAATTAAACTATATTAATCTTCAGAAAAGTTGGACATATCCGCCATTTGAGGCGCGCATTGTAGACGGAGTGATATACGCGCGCGGCGTTCAAGATATGAAGTCCGTTGGTATTATGTACATTGAAGCGCTGAAGCGGCTGAAAAACAAAGGCACCAGGCTCAACAGGACTGTACATCTGTCGTTTGTACCTGGTAGGTATTTATATTTATTATATACTAGTATTTGCACGTTACTTCGTTTTCGTGGTTTCACAAATAGGAAAACCAATAAAATAAACCATTTCTTGATTGGTGTATTATGGTAAAACATATACTGGTTTTTAGGTTAGGCCTTCAGGAATGTAACTGTGGAAACCATATCGAATTTGGTGTAGCAAGTCTTGTGTAACAACAAAACAAAAAGCATATAGCATAATATATCCGCATCTACACTACAGGAAATCAGTGGATGCAAGTGGCTCAGGACCGTTCCTTATAGCAGTCTATGGGGGAGACCTATGTCCAGCAGTGGACGAATAATGGCTGAAATGATGATGATGATAGTATGTCCATGAAATTTATGTCTTTAGATAACAGTTGCCGCTTTTTCATCTTATGATCGCTTCATTTTAATACTACCAAAATTTATAAATAGGAAAATAGCGACTTGGCGGCATAAATCTTAATTCGCCATTACGCTTTTAATATTAATTGAACAAATTCATTACGTTGTCACTTTGAAATTAATAATCTTATGATAATCTATTATAATTTAGTATCTAAAACATGGGGAAATGCGAATTCCGTGCTGTATATGAATAAAAATACTAATGGCTAATTTTATTATATATTTTCAATTATATAAATGCATTCATACATAATTGCTACGCTCATGTAAAAATTTCTTACCTGTTAAAATAAAATATTATTAAATATGATTTTTAGGACGAGTTGTGTGAGAAAGCCGAAGTGAGAAAGATATTAGTCGAGAACGAAGTCAAATAATAATATTAATTAAGTCACCGTTTTGATTAGTTAATTTTTTTAATTTTCAACTAAATAAAGTACATTTAAAGATTCCCGAAAGCTATTTTTTTTTTAATTCTCAACCAATTATATTTTATGATTCCCAAAAACTGGGTTATTATATAAACAAGTATTTTTAGTTGTTTTGTAAACGTAAATATTTTACACAATTGCGCAATGAAAGTGTCTTAATACATTTTATATTAATTTATTATTTTAATAATTGAGAATTTTTGATTTGCATGAAATAATTGACTTCAATCCAAGAGAAAGTCTATTATTTTAAAGTAAGAGTACAAATCAATTACTATATTTGTAATCATTGTTTATTTTTATGCCATTCATTTATCGAGCATCTTTTTTACCCATTTTATTACTGACATAAAATCTCCTTATAACCTTTTACCGTTTATCATCAGACGGGCTGTATGCTTGTTTGCCGTTTGTTATATAAAAAAATCAATGTCTATTTGTTCTGTAGATAAAATTCAAGCCCAAGAAGAGTAGGTACTTATTTTATTTCTACGTATTGCGTACTCTCGTATCCCACGAGGGTCTTATGTAGTGTAGTACAGGGACATTATTTATAATTTTCGGTCGCTTTGTATCAGATATTGAATACAAATTTGTTAACTTGGTTAACAATATCTCTTGTTTTAAGAAATATTCGATGTAAGACATTTACAAAATACTTATATGACTAATAGCTTTTGGCCACAACAGGATATCAGTGTTTCCTTCTTTTGAGGGCAAACCAATAAGCTGAGTTGTGACCATTTTGTGTTACTGTAGCACACGCATGAAGGGAAAAATTGTTACTTCTTTTATGCATTTTATTTTATATTTTTTGTATTGTATATGCATTCTTTTATCTTTTTTCACTGTGCATGTCTATCTATGTCTGTTGTTATTTGTGTACTGCAATGCAAATAAATTATCTATCTATCTATTTATATATCTAATTTATTTGTTTCTCTATGTAACAATTATGGTATATTAAAATAGTACTTCGCAAAAAACTGCGAGTTTAACGGTGACAAAATATAAACGGGACTGATACGGGAGTTATGCCGTGTGGTCCCGGTATAGAATGGACCACGCCTGCCTTTCCCGTGGGTGTCGTAAGAGACTACTGTCGTAATGGTCAGAGGATGGACAGCAATGTCGTTCGTAAAACATCAAATCAAAAGACTTGGTTTTGCAACAATTGAAGTTGTTTTTTTTTTTGTGAAATTCTTAATTAATAATAAAAGAAACTCCTTATCTCAAGAATGTGTCTTATAAACACCAGAGGAAAACTTTGGATAAAAGTCGTTTGCTTGAGCACCTCTGTCCCATTCGTGTTTCAACCGTAAAGCAGTTGTGTTTGCATGGCTGTGTTTCGGTTTGTAGAGTGGGATATGGCAGTCAATTTACAGGGTATTGAGGAATAATACCTGAGTCCTCAGGAAAGGCAACGCATGTCCGTTATGTTCATGGTACTGGTCATGTCTATAGGCGACGCTTACCACTCATCAGGTGGGCCGTAAGCTTGTTTGCCATTATAAGTTGCATAAAAAAAAAACAAAACGTTCGAGTAATTAGTTATGTCCCGTTTATTAATTTAGTAATACTATTTATGGTAACAGATGAGGAGATTGGCGGTGCCAAAGGTATGGGCGAGTTCGTGAAAACCGAACAGTTTAGGAAGCTGAACGTGGGCTTCGCTCTGGACGAGGGTATGGCGAATCCCACTGATGATTACCTGGTCTACAACTCTGAGAGGAGCATCTGGCGTAAGTTAGATAGAACAGAAATAGAAGAAGAGAATAGAAGTTAGATAGTTTTTACATGCAACTATATCCGTGACTGGGATAATGTATCTTAGGGTATATTAGTCCCAGGATAAATAGTAGCTTATGTCCTTCTTCGCCCAAAATACTGTATATTCTAAATTTTATGACAATTGGTTGAACCGTTAAGGCACAGAGTGGTAACAAACAAACAAACTCAATTTCACATTTATAATATTCAGCAAGGATTTAAATTTAAGGTTGTCTTGAAAAGATTGCTTTCAGCAATAAGACCGCCTTACTGTACTTATACAACTGTATCGTTACATTTATTTATTGTCTTGCTTACTCACTATATTATATAATGCAGATAAAGTATACTCATTCATTCATTTATTTATCAAATTCTTATAAAAATAAATAGTATTATATATATTTTTCTCAAACATGCTTGGAAACGTGAGCATTATTTTGACAATCTTCTTCGAGATAAATCAAAATTGCTGTACTGGCCAGATACATTGCGGGCAGCGGCCGGCAAAAGTTGTACGAAAATCCATATCTGTCGTGTTTTGCGGCCAGATAAATTACTATGTAAACTCATATCTATCCTGTAATTTAAAAATGGAATGACATTTTATTTCGAAACATGGCTACCAAAGAGGTAACTAATAAAAGGTTTTATTTGAATTTCGAACTGGCTTGCAAATAGAAAGCTGTTTATTGGAAAAAAAAAACAAAGGAATACTATGGCGCGTGAAAAACTATAATTGTTCATTGAACTTAAAAAGTAAAATTGTGTTTTTGATTTCCGCGCATTGTTTGAGAAAAGTACTATACATGTCTTGGCCACAATTAGGCATTGATGGACTCACGTATGTGTGCCTCGGCTACCCCTCGGCCCACATTTGGCCGTTCGTCCATCATTACCTCAGTTGCTGGCCGCTGCAGTAATGAATAAATTTGAAAAAAAGTATTAGTAATAAAAAAAATAACCCACTTCTTTCCCTTAAATCTTGTATTCTTTAAGAAAACAATATATTTTCTTTTAATGTATTCTATAATACTGTAAAAACTACTCTGTTTTAAGTTAGCATTTCTTTTGATTATTTTCTCTCTTTGACAATTTTGAGTTAAGACAATATTTTATAAATAATACGATATATATTTGTATAATACTAGTTTATACCCGCGACTTCATCCGCGCGTGATAGATTAAAAAGTAGCCTATGCCCTTCTCCATCCCATCCATCTTGCTTTATTAACGCAATAAAACCCAAAACAAAGGTATTTAGAATTTTTGTCTGCTTGTCTGTACGTTTGTGCTTGCTCATCTCAGAAACGGCTTAACCGATTTGAATGCGATTTTTCCTATTGCGTTGCAGTTTGCTTCACTTAAGATTTAGTGTTTGCTTTATTTCAATCGGTTCATAAATAAAAAACTTACATCAATCTAAAGGATTACCTATAAAATGCTATAAAATAACCGATCAGTTAAATTGGCCTGAAACTATATAAAGGTATTAGGTACGTAGTTATCATTTAAGTATATAATACAATAAGGAGTGAATGATTGCTTAGAGGTCGTAGCGATAATGCAAGTTAAGCAACCCTAGCCATGGTTCCAACTAGGATGGGTGACCACAATCCGTATTTCCGAATGGAGGCTACTCTCTACCGCGGTCAGTAAATATGTCCCGACCACACGGATAAAGTCGCAGGTGAAAGCTAGTTACCGATAATGGTTTTCCTTAGATATGACCGTAATCTGTCCCGGCAAGTCCGGACATGGCTCGCTACTGCTTCCAGACAACAATGGAGAAAAGGTAAATATTATATATATTTTATATATGTTACGAACTGGGGGTCTACCATGAAATGAAATTTCGAATTTTCGGAGACAATTTCGTGTTATTGTTCACACCGTAATCGGTCCAATAAATGGAGCTTAACATTTCATTCGTCGTAAATCCTATAATAAAAGTCTAAAAGGAATGATATTTTAATATTTGTAAACGGTTTTTTTTATACAACTTAGAATGGCAAACAAGCTGACGGCCCACCTAAAGGAAAGTGGTAACCGTCGCCTATAGACATGAGCAGTACCATGGACATAACAGAGTATACTGTACCCAGTAAATTCACGCCATATCCCTCCCTTCAAACCGAAACACAGCCATGCAAACACAACTGCTTCACGGTTGAAACACGAATGGGACAGAGGTACCCAAGCCATCGACTTTTGTACAAAGTCTCCCTCTGATGAACGGTATGTATTATGTAATTTTAACATCATATTTTTGTTTCGTTCGCGCCCGAAATTTCGTAAATCATTTCATGGTAGGCCCTCAGATTACGTTATAAGTACTTAGATACTGTTCTTAATTATATCCAACTTGCTTTTAGTTATGCGACTTCGTTCGCATGACTAAAATATATTCACTGACAAGGTTAAAAAGTCTTTTCTATGCAACTTAGAATGGCAAACAAGCTGAAAGTGGTAACCGTCGCCTATAGACAAAAGCAGTATCATAGACATAACAGAGTACTATTTCGACCATGATAGCGCCCATGCGTTGCCATTCCTGAGGACTCAGGTGTTATTCCTCTACACCCTTCAAACCGGGGGGGGGGGGGGAGGAATTATTACCGATGGAGTTTGACAGTTCCATTACTAGCAATATGCCCTATCATGTCGACCTCCACGTGGTTCCCCCTGGAAACCATCGTGAACAATTCTTGTTGAATTCGTCACGGTGGGCTAATTAACTTGCTTCATCCTCACCTAACATCCTTCACTGGTGCCCCGCCAGTGTATACCGATAGCGCAGGTGGGGCTACCATTCCATTATCACCCATTAAAAACCCTTCAAACCGAAACACAGCCATGCAAACACAACTGTTCCACGGTAGAAACACGAATGAGAGAGACATGCCCAAGCAAAATACTTTTGTCGAAAGTCTCTCTCTGGTAAATAAATTATTATTAATATTATATAATAACCAAAAATAACGATGTATTTATTTACATAATTATGTGTGAGAAATAGTAAATTTGATAGAACAATAAACTTTAATCAGACATTTGGCTGGATGCCAAAGTTAACCGTGCAGGTAGTATGGTAATTGTAACCAATCTACCATACGTATCTACATTAATGGTTATTGCTAACGTATACGGTTAAATCCATTATCTCTGGATGTAAATTGAAAAAAAAATACAATGAAAAACATCCTTAAAACTTCTAAATTATTATATTATATATAAATATTATAAATATTTAAAATAAACTGTCGTATTATGACTATTTTCCTTAAAGAAAGTTAAACGGTATCATGAAGAACTGGGTTTAAAGTGAGTAAATTTTAATAAAATATATCTCAAAAGAAGAAGTATTTAAATTATTTTTACATCTATCATGTTAAATAGATCACGTAGCCGCGCGGTTAGTATGGAAAGTTCGAGAGTTATTATCACATTTAGACATTTTATGTGTTCCTGAAACAATATTTTCTTTTTAAAAATTCCAATGCTTTATTTATGTAAATGTACATATAATTGGTACGATTGGATGAGAGTTTAATGATTAATGCATTAAATTATTGAATATTAAATATAAAAATACCAATAACCTCTTAGACTTTGGGAGGGGTGGGGGGGGTGTTATGAACGCAATAGAATCCAAGAATTTTTGTCTGTTTCTGAGACACGCTAATCTCAGAAACGGCTCAACCAATTTAAATACCGTTTTCACTAATGCATTGCAGTTTGCTGCACTTCACATATTATAGTGTTTATTTTATTTCAATCGGTTCATAAATAAAAGAGTTATATCAATTTAAAAAATTAGATATAAAATGCCATAAAATAATCGATCAGTTGAAATGGCTGAAATTTTATTAAGGTATTAGGTACGTAATTATTATTTAAATATAGAATACAATATAAGACCGAATTCATAAAGGCTTATAGTGGGAATGATATACGGAGACTACATAGTTAGAAGCAGGCAACGAAGAAACTTAAAAATAACACTTAAATAGCTAAAAAAAGGTATATAACTGAACAATAAACTAAGTAAGTACAATAAGTAACTGTAGCAACATAGTGTTACTGAGTTGACCTATTTATTTTAATATTTCGTTACGTTGACACTGTATAAGGTCAAGTGAAATTTAATTTGGTAAAATACTCCCTGCTAAGCGAAGTCAAATCTTTTACTTAGTTTCCCTACATAGCTAAATTTAATTAAACTAAGTTTCATCTTGTTTACCAAGTAACTTAATTATGCACATAATTTAATTATAATGATTATAAAAATGTGGGTATACGCAAACAGTTTGAAATAATAAGTTTTTCAAACTAATTTTTGCTCTTGTATACAAAAAGTAAATAATACACGTAAAATTTGTATTTTAAAATGCTGATAGTGGGAGTTGAATAATTATATAACTTTTGTTTCAGAAAGTAAAAAACGTTTTTAGTCTCGTTTTTATTTCTTTTCTTGTTTCGATTCCTCCGTTACAATGAGCATAAACCATTCTATTTAATCCTAAGTTTTTATTCCTTTTCTTTGTTAATATCTAATGTTAAAATAATATTATTTAAATAAATAACTGATAACAAACAGTACAAATGTATATGTTTAGCCAATTGTCCAGAAATATTTTTTATATGTCGTTATCAACGCTATTAATAGAGACTTGGGCGTTCCAATTCGATATTTCGTATCGTCTCTATAAGTCAGGATGGCCGAGCGGTCTAAGGCGCTGCGTTCAGGTCGCAGTCCAGTTCTCTGGGCGTGGGTTCGAATCCCACTTCTGACAGGATCGCTTTTTGTTACAAAAAAATCTACTTTTAATAGTTAACATTATATTAAGATTATATTATAAATAAAAAAAAAAGAATATCATATGCGAAAGTTCATATTTATTTTATTATTTTCCAGTTTCTAATAAAACAAGCTTTAACGTACGACTTTCCCCGCGTGAATTATATAGAACTTATACCACATATTCATACTGGAAATTATTGGCTCTTGATAAAAATTTGGATCAATTCTAAATCCCTATAATTGAGAATTGAATTTAGAAGTGAGAGGAAACTACTTATATAAAACAAAATTTTTACTAGTCTTTACCCGTGACTTTGTCTATGTAGTCGAGATAATTTGATTTAGTAAGATTAAAAGCGACCTTTATTCTTTTTAATACCGAATATTACTAGTACGTAAAACAAATTAGCTATTAATTGAGTTGTCAAGACGCCAAGAAGTAACATACAAACAAACTTACCTCCTCCTCCAATTGGAGAGTTTTGCTAGTAGTTGCCATGCTTGGCAGCAGGATTGGCAACCGCAGATAGGCTTTGGTGATGTTTTAAGAGAGACGCTGCTGCCCATCCGTCGACCATTAAATTTTCTTAGTTGCCTCTTACGACACTTACGGGAAAAGGTGAGTTAGCCCATTCTATGCCGGAACCACATGGCCATTTATAATGTTAATAAGGCTATATCATTCAACTACATGGTTCTTCTATGTACTAAATTTTAATTAAATGTTTTTGACAGACTGGGAGACTTTGTACAAAAGTCGATTGCTTGGGTACCTCTGTCCTATTCGTGTTTCAACCATGAAGCAGTTGTGTTTGCATGGCTGTGTTTCAGTTTGAAGGGTGGGGTATGGCGTGAATTTACTGGGTACATAGGAATAACACCTGAGTTCTCAGGAATGGCAACGCATGGGGGGTATCATGGACGAAACAGTATACTCTGTTGTGTCCATGGTACTGCTCATGTCTATAAGCGACGGTTACCACTTTCCATTAGGTGGGCCGTCAGCTTGTTTGCCATTCTAAGTTGTATAAAAAAAAAGACAAAATTGCGTACCAACCAACCAAAAAAATAATGACATAATTTATTTACTTATCTATGTACTGGTCTGAGGTTCAGAAAACTCTACCATACGTTAATAAATCATTCATTCTCCAGATCAGGTATATAATAGACAAGTTCATGGACCTGCGCAAGGAGTCAAAAGTCAAACTGGAGAAGAATCCTGAACTGACCGTGGGTGACGTCACTACTGTCAACCTCACCATGCTTCATGTAAGTATATCACGTGATAAGTTTTTTTTTTTTAATGAGTGATAATGTAATAGTAACCCTACCCGCGCTATCGGCATGCACCGGCAGGGCACCAGTGAAGGATGACAGGTGAGGATGAAAAGGCAGGTCAGTTAGCCCATCGTGACGAATCCCACTGGAATTACACAATAGTTTCCAATAGTTTCCAGGGGGAACCACGTGGAGGTCGACCTGATAGGGTATATTGCTAGTAATGGATCAATTAGACCCCATTACTAACAATCCCTTTCCCCCCACGTAATGAGTTTTTTATGGGTGAAAATGGTATGATAACCCCGCCTGCGCTAACGGGATACGCTGGCAGAGCACCAGTGAAGGGTGATAGAGGAGAATGAAAACAGGCCAGTTAGCCTATCATGATGAATTCATCAGGAATGAACCATGATAGTTTCCAGGGAGAACTGCGAGGAGGTCGACCTGATAGGGTATATTGCTAGCAATGGGATTCCCAGTCTCCATTACTAACAATCCCTTCCCCCCCCCCACTAATGAGTTATGTGATATGAAATATAAAATGTCAGTCCCCTTATGGTGTGTGTAGAAACAACCTCATCCAAAAGTCCTTTTTCCCCATTCTGTTCTCTTTGTCTACTTTGTAAATGGTCTTTCGTGAAAATATTATGCACGATGCACCTTTTTTAACTGACTTCAAAAAAAAGGTTATAAATTCGGTTATATATTTTTTTATGTTTTTCACCCCATAACTTCGTTATTTCTAAACCGATTTAGAACTTTTTTATCAGAAAGGATAAACTTACTTACATTGAACTCATAGAAATTTGATCAAAATCTGTTCAATAGTTTTTAGATCGCAAAAAAAAGTGGTTTCGTCACATTTGAAGTTAGTTTTTTTGTGGGATCTTTTTGTTATGTTTTTTTTTTTTTTGTAAATTAAGATATTGTAATAGTTTTCTTTATGTTATTAAAATAGTCACATATTAACTTTTAGACTTTCTTTTATAAGAGGCCAGAATAACGCGATCATTTAGTTAAACTATTAATATTTACTTGAATACTTGTCTACTCGTGATCACGAGCAGTGTAACCTGGTCTAAACGACGAAATAATTCCGGGGGTCTATCATGAAATGAAATTCTGAATTTTTGGGCTCAATTACGCGTTTTTGTTCGTACCGAAATCGGCCCAGTAAATGGAGGTTAACATTTCGTTCGTCATAAATCCTACCATAATAGTCCTAAGGAATGATATTTTAACATTTTTAATATTTGTAAACGGTGTGTATTATGTATTTTCAATATCGAATTTGTGTTTCGTTCGACCGCGAAATTTCAGAAAATAATTCATGGATCAGGTAAACTATTATAGTTTACCTAAACTATCGCGTAAATTTTCGTCTCTTATAAAACATATTTTTTTTTTATCACTTTTACTAGTTATATTTAATTTTACTTTTGTTTTGGTATAAGAGTTTCCAAGCAGATATGTTTTTAACCCCGAAATTTCGGAAATTAATTCACGGCTCAGGTAAACTATCAAAGTTTTCAACTATCGTGTAAATTTTCGTCTCTTATAAAACATGTTTTTTTATCACTTTTTACTACTTATATTTTATTTTACTTATGTTTTGGTATAAGACTTACCAAGCAGGTATATTTTTAACATTAAAATCTGAAACATCAGTAATAATTTAAAAAATATATTGTATCATTCTTTAAAGGGAAAAATAAAGAGTTTTCATGCATTCAATCATACTTATTGAACGATTTATTTCATTGTAGAGCAGTTTATATAATAACAATAAGTATCATATATTTACACCAATTGCCTAGCCCTCAAGCTAAGATACCGTGTGTAATGAGGAACCAGGCATCATACATCTACAAAAAATATAATACATCAAGAAAAAATTTACAAAAGTTTGTTTCTAAACTGACTCAACCAGAAACCGAATCGTTTGAAAATACCATTCGAAATTAATGAAAATTTTCTAATTCTCTTAGAAAATTGACAGATAATCACACAAGACTCACTATCTTTGGAATCACCATTTTCTGTCCACTGCTGAACATAGGCCTCCCCTATAGACTGCCATAGGGAACACTCGTGAGACATCTGCATCCAATGACTTCCGGCAATGTATTTGAGATCATCGCGCCATCTAGTGGGGTATCATCTATCTATATTTAGACTACTAGCACAGTATTATATTATCTGTGGTTAGAATGATCTCGATAATTCGGTCACAGACTAGATACAAAGTTGCCATTTGGCTCATCATTGACAAGTGATTAATTAATATCGTTATTGACAGGGCGGAATCCAGAACAACGTGGTGCCAGAGAAACTATCAGTCAGCTTCGATATACGTATAGCCACGTCTGTCAATCTACAGGAATTCGAAGATATGGTATTAATATAATTATAACTTCTTTATTACATTTGAAATACTTATTAGGGAAGCAAAATTTAACAAATTTTTTTACTTCACATTGATAATGTTATATTTAAAAATTGCGCGTTAATTTACCAGAGAGACACTTTGTACAAAAGTCGATTGCTTAGGTACCTCTGTCTCATTCGTGTTTCTACCGTGAAGCTGTTGTGTTTGCATGGCTGTGTTTCGGTTTGAAGGGTAGGATATGGCGTGAATTTACAGAGTACAGAGGAATAACACCTGCATCCTCAGGAATGGCAACGCATGGGGGGTATCATGGGCGAAACAGTATACTCTGTTATGTACATGATGCTGCTCATATGTATAGGCGACGGTTACTTAAAAAAAAAAATCTATCGAAACTATATCTACATCTTTGAATCCACCAAATCATTAATACATCGCTTTTAGCGATAAGGTCGCCCATTGTTTTCTCATTGTGATTATTTCTTGTAATTATTTATATTTATAATAAGTTTACTACTGTAATCTTTTGGAGGAAACAATAAAGAGTATCTATCTATCTACATCTACGAGGTACTCAGTTACTAAACAGAAGGGAAATTTAATGAGAAATGTTTTAGTATGATTTCTTGGAACCTACCTACGCGTAACTTTGATCCGGAACGCGTCTAAGAAATGAGCTCAACGTAATTTATAAACGACGTAAATACAAGTGTCCTTTATTTTTATTTATCAGATCAAACGCTGGTGCACCGAGGCCGGAGAAGGTGTATATTATACATTCGATCAAAAAGATCCCTACGTGGCTCCAACCAAGACAGACGATTCCAATCCTTATTGGGCTGCATTTAAGGGTGCTTTCGACAAGTTGTAAGTAGCATATAATATTGTTTACCACATAATAATTACTAGTGCCACATAATAAAATTTTTTTATGACATGAATGTAACAAACAAGCATACAGCCTGTCTGATGGTAAAAAATTACTGTAGTAAAAACTCACTAATATTAGATAGTTCTCTCGTGAGAATGTTTGCCCAGAAGACTAAATCATTATTAGTAATTAAGTATTAACATAGTTTTTTCAATACATACATACACACATATCTGTCACGCCTGTCTCCCATTAGGGTAGGCAGAAACAATGGAACGCCAAATGCTTCGATTCAAACAAACCTCTTTCGCTTCTTTCACATTCATCAGTGTTTCCATACACGCTCGCCGGTTACGGGTACTTTTAATTTGGCCCTTCTTCAATACACTTAACAACAAAAATAGATCCAAGTTGTCTTAAATAAATAAACACAATTAGATTACCGTATATAAATGCTTATTATAAATTATTATTATATTATAAATGTAAAAGGGAGTTTGTTTGTTTGTTACCTTATAACACCTAAACGGCTGAACCAATCTCTATGAAATTTAGTATACGCGTACTATATGGGATCAGGATAGAGGATAGGCTACTTTTATCCCGATTAGTAAATATGTCGCAAATAGAATGTATTAAAAAAATAATCAAAACAATTATAATGAAGCAAAAAGCAATACCATAAATCGAAATAGTAAGCAGAAAATAAGTAGTCATATAGTTCACAAACATGGTATATTGATGGTTTAACTGCTTGATACAAGAAAGACCCGTAAAAGAAGTCCTGACTTGTATATAACCTTTACCAGAGGGAGACTTTGTACAAAAGACGATTGCTTGGGTACCTCTGTCCCATTCGTGTTTCAACCGTGAAGCAGTTATGTTTGCATGGCTGTGTTTTGGTTTGAAGGGTGGGATATGGCGTGAATTTACTGGGTACAGAGGAATAACACCTGAGTCCTCAGGAATGGACCACATGGGGGGTATCATGGGCGAAACAGTATACCCTGTTATGTCCATGGTATTGCTCATGTCTATAGACGACGGTTACTACTTTCCATTAGTTGGGCCGTCAGCTTGTTTGCCATTCTAAGTTGTATAAAAAAAAAAACCTATAATATTTTTCAGGAAACTGCCTATCAAGATCCGCACATTCCCCGGTGGAACCGACAGCCGGTTCATCCGCGAAGTTGGCATCCCAGCTCTGGGTCTTTCCCCAATCACGAGAACCCCATTGGAACTTCACCAGCATAACGAAAGCTTACGCGTGGAGACTTTCCTACACGGCATCACCGTTTACGAATCTCTTATACCCGCAATTGCTAACTTAAATTAAAATGTCTGTTGAATGCATTTGATCTTTCAATTATAGGCAAATAATTTTACATCTATCCATTTATTTATTTATTCTTTATTAATCATATTACAAAAAAAAGTCCGGTACAAAAGGCGTGAATTTACTGAGTACAGAGGAATAACACCTGAGTCCTTAGGAATGGCAACGTATGGGGGGTATCATGGGCGAAACAGTATACTCTATTATGTCCACGGACAGTTCCCACTTTCCATCAGGTGGACCGTCAGCTTGTTTGCCATTCTAAGTCTATTAAAAAACTTAATACTATATAGCATTCTCTTCCAGTCAACCTTTGGCAAAACAGAAATGTAACTATCGCCATTATTAACATATCAGCCTTTAACTGTCCACTGCTGAACATAAACCTCCCCCTGGGGGGATTTTGCTAATAGTTGCCACGCTTTACAAACGGATTGGCAACCGCAGTTAGGCTTTAGAGATGTTATAAGTAGGATGTTGCTGCCCATTCCTTGCCCTCCCTTAGTCGATTCTTATAACACCCACGGGAAATGAAGGGGTGGCCTATTCTATGCCAGGACCATACGGCAATTTACATCCATATCGAATATGAATATGGTAATATCAATGACAATAAAATACTTATATCACTACATATTATAAAACAAAATCCCTTACCGCGTCTGTCTGTCTGTCTGTATGTTCGCGATAATCTCAAAAACTACTGAATGTTTTAATTTATCAACATAGTAATTCCTGAGAAGGGCACCCAAGCTGCGAAATGTTAGTGTTATTATTTGCCAAACGGTTAACGCTAGGCTTCGAACAGCAATCTAATAAATTACCTGACGACGCCTTATTTAAAGGTAAACACGTGTCGCAAAACGTGCGTAGACGAAATGGCAATCGGATATTGAGTCCTAACATGAAAGGTTGTAGAACATCTAGTAGTAATAATGGTGATCAATCTTCGAGTGTTAGCAGTCACACACATACTAATGGTAGCGGAATTTAACAAAATAATTCTAATCAAATTTTTTTATTGTGTTATAATTGTTATGTCTTCCACGTGTCGAAATTGAAATGTTATGTCTAAATATTAATCATGTTGTGTACACATGTTTTTGAATTGTAACCTAGCATTAAAACCATAATTACCTATATATAAACCTAACATGGTTATAATTTGTTATGTGTGCCTTATTAAAAATCAATAAATCAATCAATCAAATAAACCCAGTGATAAGGACTTCCGCAAGATAACACTTATTTCAGTAAAATATTATACAATACAATTTTAGTAAAATCTATAAAAATATTCTATAAAGCAGACGTTGAATGTATATTACTGTACTTACATTTATCAGGTAAATAAATACAAAACATTTGTATTTATTTATTCTTTATTGCATAATAAAACTTGGTACAAATGGCGAGCTTAATGCCATATGGCATTCTCTACCAGCTAACCATTAGGTAAAAACAGAAAGCGTATGAAGGGCAGATGTGGTGAAAAATATGTGACAATTATAGTAACACATTAAAGCAATCATACACAATACATAAGAAATACACATATAAAATATAAACATTATTTTTAACATGTATTTTGTATGTATTTATTCATTTCTTTCCTCGATATTTTATAAGTGAAGAAGCTATATTCACGCGGAGCATGGAGCATGCAGCAATAAAGTTACTTATTCAATGCAATGCTTTTGTTTTGTGAATAAAGCACGCTAGCATATAAACGGACTGTATAATTTATTTATTCAGTACGGACCCAAGAAATACTATCCGAGGGACACCTTTAACATGTTACTTATACATTTAATACTTAGTTTTATAATTTTTGTCTAAACAAAGACAAAAATTTAGTTAAGATTTTGCTCAACAAAAAAAAAATAGATAATTTGTTCATAACAAAAAAAAAAAAAAGATTGCATCCATGTATTTCTACGATTTAGTTCTTACCATATATATTCTTTATTACATTTGAACAATAGATACAGCGATTAGTTTAACAACTTGTTAGCAAGGGAGGGCTTATCTCTAAAAGAGATCTCTTCCAGTCAACACAGTGTAGTTAGAGAGAAAATAATTGAATGGCGGGTAATCTAGTGCAGGAAAGGTACAGGTAAAAATAATGTAAATAAAACAAACATACACAAATTATAAATAAATATATACATATACATATGTATAAGTGCATAGTGTTATCATGTATTATTAATTAAAAGGTGAGATTTCAATCTTTTCTTGAAGGAAGTAATAGAGGGACTATCCAATCTATCACACTACAGGCTGTAGAACAAAACAGACTTTTTTGTTCTACTAAAAGGACAAAAGTATCGAACGAGTGAAACATGGAGTACACAAATACGTAAATGATTGATCGATTTAAAACTGTCTAAAAATATCAGTTAACATGTCCCTACATCTGTTCATTTACGTTTTAGAATAAATTTTAAACTTCTTTTAGTTTTTGTTTTGAAGTCGATTGACTTCGATATGATTGTATTTCTTTTTTATGTTTGTTGACTCCATCAGTTGTGAACCGGTTAGGGAAATTCTTTTTTTTTTATCTAAAAGAATATGCTTACAGATTAGTTCTACGGAAATTTTATCAAAATCAATTCAGTAGTTTTTAAATTAAAATAACTCGTTTTGGCACAATATATATACGAGGTTTGTCCGGAAAGTACGTATAAAAGTTTTTTAAAAATTTTATTTTACAATTATTCAGGTAAATCAATTTTATCCCCTTCAAAGTACTCCCCCTGTGACATAATGCACTTGTGCCAACGCCGTTTCCACTGTGAGAAGGCTCCTTGAAAGTCCTCTGGTTGTAGGTTTCTCAGCTGCCCCGTCGTAGCTTTTTTTATCTCATTTATGTCCCCCAAATGCCGCCCCCGAAGTACCAATTTGGTTTTTGGGAACAAGAAGAAGTCACACGGGGCCAAATCCGGCCAAATCCAACGCCCCTCTCGCGCCAATTCTGGACGAACTCGTGCCACACGAGCTTTGAGGCGTCTGAGCACATCGACGTAGAATTTTCCATCAACTGTCTGGCCTGGAGGGACGAATTCTTGATGGACAATCCCCCGAACATCGAAAAAAACAATCAACATTGTCTTGACATTTGAGCGGGATTTTCTTGATTTTTTTGTTCGTGGTTCCCCGGATGTCTTATCGAATTAGATCGGCAAAAATTTCACGGCCATTCTTGCCGAGTTTCGAGAGAAACTTGATTACGACGCGCTGCTCTTCAACGGAAGCGGGCTCCATGCCGACGGGGTTTCGTTAAGAGGTAACTTCACAGATGGCGTGACAAGCCAGTTCGCACCGCACGGCGGTCAGACCAGAACTGAAGCATTGTTAGGGACATAAGGAAGGGGTCCTGCGCTTACCTGGCCTCCCCACTCCTCTTTCTCGCATTCCAGAACACTTTTATATACGCACTTTCCGGACACACCTCGTATATATATATATATATATATATATATATATATATATATATATATATATATATATATATATATATATATATATATATATATATATATATATATATACAACTGTATTAAACGACACAAGAACAACTGTATTAAATGCAATTATACAAACTCAAATTACATTAACTAGATAAGCAGTAAGGTATTATAGTATTTCAAAATTATCATTATTCAAAATGGAACACAACTGAATCAACTAGGACCTTCCTCTCTACAGACCGAGTCTTAAAGGACTTTCTACTCTATATTCACCTTATATAAATTTCAAAATTAATTCAACTCCCCATCTAATTTACTGGTAACACAAACACACCCTTTAAAGCGGTAATAAATCGTTATTAGCAAACTGCAATGCAACAGGTCTACCGGAACACACGGGAGTCTTTATTACACCTTTGGGTTTATCTGATATAACTGACCGTTGCTGTTGGAAAACAAACCCTATGCTGAAGCGTATACGTAACAAGTTATATCTGCTATATTACTAACGAGGTAAGGCTTGTTCGTTACGCCCAGCTTAAACTAGTGAAATTAATGGAATTGCAATCCATTCGTTGCTGTAACTGTGGTTAAAAAGTATAAATCGGATGCAGATATACACTACTACATTAAAGAAAATACATATATTTTCGACTAAAATATACTATGTGACTAAAATATATATTATATGCGACTACAATCTTAGTAGAGGTAAGTTTTAAAAATAAAAATAGGCATAGATAAGTATGAAATAAAAAACAGCATACTAAGGGAGGGCAAGAGATAGGCAGCAGCGTCCCTGTTAAAACATCTCCAAACCCTAACTGCGGTTGCTAATCCACCTCTCAAGCTTGGTGACTACTGACAAATCTCCCCAAGCTTACCATATGTTCAGCACTTAAAGGCAAATAGTAAGGCATAAAGTGCCAAAAATATAACAACACTTTGGCGCCCAACATGGGACTTCTAAATTGAAAAATATGGCACTCTTATTGTAAACGTATTAACATCGAACTAGAGTAATTCCCCCTCCCCCTTCGCTGTTCTGCTTAACTCATGTAAATAAGGAAACTTTCGCCCTAACTTTGTATATTTAATGAATTGGCATTCTTGGTCTGATTTCTATTTGACGGGTACCTGGTACCGACGACAGTACCTACTAAGTTTAATCAATCAACATAAGAATAACATAAATAGTTGATATATTTTATTCCAAATAATAAATAAATATATATTTAAAGGTCCACTATTTGATACTTATTTGTCATTCGTGTAACTCTTTCTATATTATAATTATTATACATATATTTTATTCGTGCCAGGTACGGAAGTAGCATTTATGTTAATGTTAAAAGAAGGGTATTTTCTTTATTCTTTATATAAGACGAATTGACTGTATAGATTTTAAAGTCTCTATTACGAGTACTAATGAAAAGCTAAATAAATTAAGTATTTATTTTTTGTTATTTAAATTTTTCACTTATATACATGTAATAGAAGTATAGATATATATGTCTAAATACATTATACAGCTTAAGTTTGTA